TGAAGAAGAGAAGGGAGGACCTTCCTTTCTGATTCCCCATCCCACCATCTCTCTCCCAAAGGACAGGAACCTTTTCTCCTGAACTCTCTTGTCTCAGAGGTCTAGGTTTTTTTGCCTGCTTCCTCTGTCTACCTTCTCCTACCCCTTTAATCTAGGTTCTCCTATATAGCTCTAGGGAAGGGGTTTACTCACGATAGGCTGTATCACGTGAGGTTTGGAGCATTGTCTGGAGTTGACCTCGAACACTTTCCATCTCAAAGATGTGCTTAGAACCATCCTAGAAAAAAGCCACATGGAAATCAAATGCCATCTGCATAATCTACATGCTACCTACTGCCAGGGAAGAATTTTTTACTTCAGCATTTGGGAAAGCAAGAAAAACAAAATAGATCCAATACAGGCTGTCTTAACCTTGAGTTAGAAACTCAAATATCTATAGGAGCCAAAAAGGTAGCAGAAATGAATAAATTGGGCAGGCATAAGAAAAGAATGGTGGGGATTCTTGCCAACTAAAAAACAAATGCCTGTCTAAAGACTGTATAGCCTATAAGTTTTTAAACTGGAAGATCAAACTAGTCTGCAAATTGATTATGGCACCTTTTCTATCCAATGATCTTCTCTGTAACTTGTACAATTGACTAAACTATGTTTGAATGATCTACATGACAAATTTTGAACCATACTATCAAATAGGCTTTGAGTTGGAATGATTTTAGCATATTCTGCTGCTATCCTAAGTCTCTAGCTCTTGGGATCAAGAAACCCACTCCCAGTGCCCAGGTGCCAGTCCCACCCAGAACACTAACCTACCCCACAGGTTTGCTCCATCTACTCAGAGCAGAGATTTCTCACAAAAAACACTAGAAGTTTCACAATTCTCCAAATTATGGTGTCCCAGGTCACTCTCCCTTATAAACATTTGCTCTCAGGAATAAGCACTATGTAGTTAAAAGGAATTTGAAATCCAACCATAGGAGTCCAATTTTGAAAAAGCTTTTTGCTTTTTTTGTTTTTTACCACCCCCTAAACCCAAGACTCTGGTGTCCAGTATACTAGAGGTCCCCAAGTCACACCTCCCTTACCTTTTTCTTCAGGTTGTTCTCCAATCCAACTGACAAGCTGTGACTCAGCTCTTGGGCCAAGCTATCTAACACCTCATGAGGAGGTGGGGAGGTGGAGGGTAAATACAGCTGGGCTCGGGCTGTGGCCTCTGCCTGCCGGCTGAGGCGCAAAGATGCATAGAGCTGGGAGGTCACCTCAGAGGATGCTTGGTTCAGCCCAGGGACTTCTGAGGAATCACTCAGGAGATCCTCCGCTCGGAGAGGTGAACTGGGGCCAGTAGCTGATGTCGCCATGAGTACAAGGAAGAAACAACTGAAGACAGCAGAAAGCTGGGAGGTTCTGCTTTAGGAAAGTCCAGGGGGGAAAGTTCACGGAAAAGGGAGATTTGGGAGAGGGGAGGAAGATTGCACGCCAAGGATCCTTGGTGAATATATGTATGGAGGCTTTCTGGTTAGAGGAAAGGTTTCCACTGGTTCCAGAGGCCATGGGAGAGGGCAAAAGCATTCCTTTCCCTAGCTCCTGAAGGGAACGTTGTTAAAAGAGCCACACAGAGTGGGTGTGGACAGACCTACTTTGGGACAACAGCACCCCTGCACTTTCTCTTCCCAACTAGGAGTGCTGGAAGTGGCAGAGCAACTTCAACACAGGCTATTCCTGGTCAACTAAGCTCTTAAGTTCTCACACCCAGAACTTGCAAACTGAAACGAACCTAAATCCAGTGGGGGACCAATTTCTCTCCCGCTGCCTTACTTGTCCCTCAGCTGGCTCCAGTCTCAAAAGATGCAGGAACTTCACGCCCCGCACGCCCCTCTACTTCACCCGTTCCACCCAGGGTCAACTCCCTTGAACATCCCCTCCGACCCCTCCTGGCAAGAAAGCCATAGCAGAGCTCCCTGGAATCCCTCCCTCCCACCCCAAAAGAAACCTTGTAAATCCTCAGTCAAGCCCTCAGACGTTCCTAAAAAGCACGTCGCCCTCAAGCCTAACCAGAGATCTTCTACCCCGACCACCCCGTCCCAACTACTCTTCACACTTCCAGTCCTTGGTCCCCAATTTGCCAAGGCGGGAACAAGAGACTACCCCCGTCCCCTGAGCCCAGGTTCGGAAAGACCCAGACACCCCCTCTCGCGCGGTCCTCTACACTCAAAACCGTTGGCAGCCTCCCGCCCACCGCCCCGCCTCTCTCGCCTCGATGACGTCACCCACCCGCGATACCACACTGGCAGCAGCTCCTACTTTTGGATCCCGCGACCCTGGGCGCGCGTGCGCGGCTCCAGCCGCCGGGGATTGGCTGAGGGAGGGAGGCAGAGTCTGACCAGCGGCATTGGGGCGGAGTCAATGCCCCACAGTTGCGGCTTGAAGACCAGGCCGGGCGGAGCTCCGCGGAAACAGGAAGTAGCTCCTGACTGGCACTCGGAGCAGTTCCGGTGAGTCCGGGGGTGGGGTCCCTACCTGGTTGGGGGGATAAGGGACCCAGAACCCGAGTGCACAGAGTAGGGGCGATCACGGAGCGAGACTCACACTCTCTTTCCTGCAGATGACTGTCCACAACCTGTACCTGTTTGACCGGAATGGAGTGTGTCTGCACTACAGCGAATGGCACCGCAAGAAGCAAGCAGGGATCCCCAAAGAGGAGGTGACGAGAGGGCCCGGCGCAGCCTAGGCGACCGACGCATCTCCAAACGCACTTAGTCCCAGCCAACCCCTTCTCTCCAAACCCCGGCTCGTTCCCCCCCTTACCCCCACCCCGTCGCCCTCCACAAAAGAGCTAACTATGCCCCTTTCCCTCCAGGAGTACAAGCTGATGTACGGGATGCTCTTCTCTATTCGCTCGTTTGTCAGCAAGATGTCCCCGCTAGACATGTACGCGGAGTCAGAGAGGATGTTGGGAGGAGGGCTAGCTTTGGGAATTAGGGGGTGCAGGAAACTTTTTGGAGTGGAAGGGGCATTGGCCCTCAGAGATGGGAGGAGGACTTAGAGAAAGAGGCTGAATCCAAAGCAAGAGTGCTGAAGCTGGCAGGAGCGGCGGTGGGGACGGTCTGAAGGTAGAGGGGTTGAGGGCTGGAGCTAAACTGAGCTGTGAGGATGGGCTGGGCGGTGTCTTTACTCAACCAGGCTCCTACAAACGATTTGTTTAGACGAAGAGGGAGTCAACCTCGAGGGGATCAGAAATATCTCTTTGAGAGAAATTTTGCTCCCATTCTTTAACATCCTCCTCATCTCTGCAGGAAGGACGGCTTCCTGGCCTTCCAAACTAGCCGTTACAAACTCCATTACTACGAGACGCCCACTGGGATCAAGGTTGTTATGAATACTGACTTGGGCGTGGGACCCATCCGAGATGTGCTGCACCACATCTACAGTGCGGTCAGTGCCAGCCCCGGGGACCCTTCCCCCAGAGCTCCTTAACGGCCATGGCCAATTACAGCCTCAAGACTCCCTCAGTTTCCCTGCCCTAATCCTACTATATCTCTATTGAACTCAGAGTTTTCTCAAGGGCTTTTAGGTCCTTAAACATTTCCACCACCAGTTTCTCCTTAGGAGGGCTTGCCTCCCAGCCCTTGTTCCTTGTGCATTCACACACCCTTGAAGTTATACTAGATTTGGGGTTAAAAATGAGTGTCCAAATCCTGGCTCTAACACCCTCCCCCTCCATAGCTGTATGTGGAGCTGGTGGTGAAGAACCCCCTGTGCCCGCTGGGCCAAACTGTGCAAAGTGAGCTCTTCCGCTGCCGACTGGACTCGTATGTCCGCTCTCTGCCCTTCTTCTCTGCCCGGGCTGGCTGAAGCATCCTACCTCACACCTCAAGAGAATTCATGTCTGCCTGGGGTCCTTCCTAATCTCTGCCCCGAGGGACCCCACTATAAGCCCTTACACTGCCCCCCTCCTAGGGCAGCAGCCTGAAGGCCTGTTCTGGTGCCCTCCACATCACCAGAATGAAGCCCACACAAGTCCCTCCACCTCCAAACCAGGCCCTCTGTCCAGTTTTATCCCATACCTGACACTGTGAGAATCACAGAATAAACTTTTGTCACCCTCTGCTGCCTGAGTGTGTGAGTTTGAATGGGCCCTCTTGGTCCTGCCCCACTCATGAAGGCAGGAATAAGGTAGCTGCACACCACTGAAGCCTGAAAAGAGGCTTTGCCAATGGGTTTCTTTCTTTCTTTCCTCCCTTCCTCCCTTCCTTCCTTCCTTCCTTCCTTCCTTCCTTCCTTCCTTCCTTCCTTCCTTCCTTTCTTTCTTCTTTCTCTTTCTCTCTTTTTCTTTCCTTCTTTTCTTTTTCTTTTTCTTTCTTTCTTTCAACAGAGTCTTACTCTGTTGCCCTGGCTAGAGTGCGGTGGCGTCAGCCTAGCTCACAGCAACCTCAATCTCCTGGGCTCAAGTAATCCTTCTGCCTCAGCCTCCTGAGTAGCTGGGACTACAGGCATGCGCCACCATGCCCAGCTAATTTTTTCTATGTTTAGTTGAGACGAGTCTTGCTCTTGCTCAGGCTGGTCTCAAACTCCTGACTTTGAGCGATCATCCCGCCTCAGCCTCCCAGAGTGCCAGGATTACAGGCATAATTCACCATGCCCCCTCCCTTCCTCCCTCCCTCTCTCTCTCTCTCTCTCTTTCTTTCTTTCCTTTCCTTCTCTTTCTTCTTTTTCCTCTTCTTTTCTTTTCTTTCAGACAGAGTCTCACTCTGTCACCTGGGCTGCAGTGCTGTGGCTCCTGGGCTCAAGCAATCCTCCTACCTCAGCCTCCCAAGCCGCTGTGACTACAGGCGCTTGCCACGACGCCCCACTAATTTTTTGTTTCTATTTTTAGTTGGCTGGCTAATTTTTTCTATTTTTAGTAGAGACTGGGTCTCACTCTTGCTCAGACTGGTGTAGAACTCCTGTCCTCAAGCGATCTTCCTGCCTCAGCTGCCCAGAGTGCTAGGATTACAGCCAATGGGTTTCTTAACAGCGGCACTATTGACATTTTGGGCTGGATGATTATTTGGTGTGGCGGCTGTTATGTGCTTTGTAGGATTTTAGCAGCATTGGGGCCACCACTCACTAGATGCTGATAGGACAGCCTTCCTCACCCCCGAGTCGTGAAATCAAAAATGTCTCTAAACCTTGCCAAACGTGCTCTTGGAGACAAAATCCCTTCCGATTGAGAATCACTGGGTAAGGAGGAGGCTGACAGGCCTCCGGTCCCAGAGGGTGCAAGGACCATCCTGTAGGGTTCGTTCACAGAATATTCAAGCCGCGGAGCCTCCGGCAGGCGAGCCTTATGCAGATGAGCGGCAGGTTTGGCTAGGAGGCGGGCGGCCCTATGCAGATGAGGGGGCGGCGCCTGCATGTTGATAAGCTGGGCCCGCTGCCGACGCTGCTGGGCGCCTAGCGGGTCCCGCTGCGGTTTAGGCTGAAGTAGCATCCCTCTCCCGCCCCCCTCGTCCCTGGGTTCCTGCCTTCTGAGGACTGTCCTCGACCTTTACCCTCATCCATTTCCCCGGCCTTACTCCCTGCTCCATTGCCCCCCGTAACTGAATATCTCCACTCCTGGAGCCCCCAGCGTTTCTCCCCTCCCGCAGCAAACCTCGCGACCTCCAACAGCCCGCCCCCGCGGCCCGATCTTGCCTGGCAGATCTCGCCGCAGCCTCCCCGGTCTTCCCGCTCTCCCGGGGCTCGCCCCACTACGCCGCCGGGTTGTCAGCCCTTGAGCTTCCCTGCTCCCTCCTCCCACCCCTTGAAGCCCCCTCCCCCGCCCTGGCCAGCCGGCATGCAGGTGTCTATCGCGTGTACCGAGCAGAACCTTCGCAGCCGGAGCAGTGAGGACCGTCTATGTGGACCCCGGCCGGGTCCCGGGGGCGGTAATGGCGGGCCAGTCGGCGGGGGGCACGGGAATCCTCCGGGGGGTGGAGGTTCGGGCCCCAAGGCCAGAGCTGCACTGGTTCCTCGACCCCCAGCGCCTGCTGGGGCCCTCCGAGAGAGCACCGGCCGAGGCACTGGCATGAAATACAGGTATGGGGGTGGCCGGGCAGCCCACCCCATCTGCTTCCCTTTCGGGACCCCTGAGGCTTCCTGAGATGGCCACCAAGACCCCTACAAACTTTACTAACAAGTCCCCGTTCCTTCCATCTCTTCTTCCCTTCACTCGCACTCCTTTACTTTGTCCCTCTCTTGATCTCCGTCGATACCCCTGACTACGAGAGAATCAAGTTTACCAAGGTTAACTGGGTCCTTTCAGACCGAGGGGATGCCCCTGACCTTCCCTGTTTACCCCTAGGAAGGCTGGGGATCCACAGATCTCCAAGCTGCACGGATCACAAGACTGTGTCCCCCTCCAATGGAGTGTCCTTGGGTCGGCGTCCTGGGGAGAGGAGGGAGGGAAATGGCTTCTCACTCTGTTTGGCCTGTTTGGGGTGCCTGACCCAGATACTCCCCCCACCTGCCCCAAGGGACCAGCCTCCTATAACCTTTCTTGGGGGGAGGGGAGTGAGGCCTGTGGGAAATATGGACCACATCTTTCATCTCTATGCTGAGGGGCAGGGTCTCTGTGGGAAGGTGAACCGACTTTGTCTCAGAGAACTGACTTTATCTCAGAGAACTGAGGGTCAGGGGCTCTTAGAACTCACGGTAGGGGGAGGGGAGGGGCTTCTGCTGGGGAGTGAGCCAAGGTCACAGATCTGACCTGCTTTGTCACCTAAGGAATCTGATCCCCTCTGTGTGTGTGGTGGCCCTGATTGGGAAACTAAGCTGCCACCTAGGTGGGGGGCATTAGGAGGAGGAGGGGACTCACGGGTTCAGAGACAGTCTTCACAAGCCAATAGGAGCAGAGGGAGTAGAGAAGGGGAGAAAGAGAACTAGGCTTTCCTGTGATACATTCTGCTACCCCCCAGGTCTCCTGTCTGCCTTTGCTGGAGCCCCATCTGTCCATCTGTCCTGCCTAACCAGGGACCCTTGCCTGTCTGAGTGCCTGCATTTGACTTGGTTTACCTCTTCTATCCTAGTGCCTGCCCATCAGCTTACAAACTCACCACAATTAGCTAGCCATACACTTCCCAGCCCTCCCACTTCCACACATCCCAGAGATGACTCTAAACACAGACAAGACCCTACCTAGAAGAAAGACAAACCAGACAGCATATCTTCAATGTGATAGGAGAGAACAGAGGCACTGGACAGAGGAACAGTCATTTATTGGTTCACTTATTCTTTCAACAATATTCCTAGGGCCTCTGCTATGGGGCTAGCACTTGCCCAATCCTGTAGGCCCACTGGGTCTAGTTTCTTTGAACTGAGATCCTGTGAGGGCTTCTCAGTCTAGGAGAGGAGCTGGGGCCTATGATCTAGGTCCTAATGAGGCTCCACCCCTTCCTCCTGCTTCTGTATCCTGTAGGAACCTGGGAAAGTCTGGTCTTCGGGTATCCTGTCTTGGCCTGGGTGAGTTAGAATGGGGATTAAAGGAAGGGGGCATTCTTTCATGGCCTGCCTCTTACAGCTCTCATGTACCTGGCTTCTCTCTTGCAGGTACCTGGGTCACATTTGGTTCTCAGATCTCAGATGAGGTATAAGTGATGGGATCTAGAAACAGAGTGGGGGAGAGGGAGGAAACCAGAAAAATGGGAAATGGACCTGGATAGGGGTTTGGACAATAAGCATGGGGAATGAGGGATCTGAGGCTGGAGGCTGGGGCAAGGGAAGAGAATGTGGAAACCAGGGCTGCGGTTTGGTGGGTTAAAGTGCAGTCAAGGAGGTAAGTGAGGGGCAGTAGTGGATCAACTCTTTCTCTCACCTCCCTAGGCAGCGGAGGATGTGCTGACAGTAGCCTATGAGCATGGTGTAAATCTGTTTGACACCGCTGAAGTGCATGCAGCAGGAAAGTAAGGACTGGGGTCATAGAGCTAAGTTCCATTTGGAAGGCTGAGAGAATATCAGGGCTTCTTGTTTTCCCTCTAAAGAACACTGAGAATTCTGAGAACAGCGAGTTCCAACCTTTCAGCCAATGGGCCCCCAAAGCATTATGGGAGTTGTAGTCCCAATATCAGTCCCTCTCTTCCTTAGAATCACTGGGCATACTGTGTAGTCACATTAAATAAAATCAACAAACATATCCTGGGCATTAGTTATGTGCAACTATGTGAGGATTACAAAGCTAAATTTTCAAACACACTGCCCCATCACACATCCATGACTTCACACTAGGAACAGTAAAAACCTAGGATGACCTATCCTTGCCTCTTCCACATCTGGCAAATACTTCTGCTCATCTTCAAGACTTGACCCAAATGTCCACTCCTCTAAGAATTGGGGGGGGGCAGTGGCAACCCAGATGGTTGAAGCCAGACAAGGCAGTGTCCTCCCTGGCTTTATACCATCTGTTCTTCTCCCCTCAACCCTATTCTATTTTAGTACCCACAACGGTGCTTGGTACATAATTGATGCACAACAAATATTTGTTGAGTGAATGAATAAATGAAAATTATATAGCTACATCCCTAGTTCCAGAAGCCCCTCTTATGTAGTCTAGGATGGGGCTGAAAGCCCAAATTGGCTCCTGGATTATGGTCTACTTTATAAGAGAGGAAAAGGTGGGGAAGAGTAGAAGGAATTGATCCACCTTGGAGGGGTCAGTGCCTCTGCATTGTCTCTCTTTTAGGGCTGAAAGAACCCTAGGCAACATCCTCAAGAGCAAAGGTTGGAGGTGAGACTGTGTTTTGGGGGGTTGCTGGGGACATGATCATCCAAAGATCCTTTTCTTGCTGGTTTTCCCATTTCTCCTTTTCCAGGAGATCAAGCTATGTCATCACCACCAAGATTTTTGGGGGAGGACAGTAAGTGGCTGCCCCACTATGATTGGGGAGAAGACCTAAAAAGAATGTGTTCAAGTGTATGGGAAGGGGGTGGGGATAGCTATCCTGCACCTGCTACCCCAGGTCTGCACCCTGCCTGTGAGGACCATGCAATCCCCATTCCTCACCGCTCCAAGCCAGCCCTGACCCCCATCTTTATCACACTTTATCTTTTTTTTTTTTTTTTTTGAGACAGAGTCTCACTTTGTTGTCCAGGCTAGAGTGAGTGCCGTGGCGTCAGCCTAGCTCACAGCAACCTCAAACTCCTGGGCTCGAGCGATCCTTCTGCCTCAGCCTCCCGAGTAGCTGGGACTACAGGCATGCGCCACCATGCCCGGCTAATTTTTTATATACATATCAGTTGGCCAATTAATTTCTTTCTATTTATAGTAGAGACAGGGTCTCGCTCTCGCTCAGGCTGGTTTTGAACTCCTGACCTTGAGCAATCCGCCTGCCTCGGCCTCCCAGAGAGCTAGGATTACAGGCGTACAGCCACCGCGCCTGGCCCACACTTTATCTTTGACTTACTTTTTCTTACAGGGCAGAAACTGAGAGAGGCTTGAGCCGCAAACACATCATTGAAGGTGAGAGTTAGGGGCTGGGAACCTGAAGTGGTGGGGTATGGAAGCCAGAGGAATAGGGAACATTTTCTGAAGCTCTGAATTGGAGACTTTGAATATGGACTTAGGTGGCCATGGCAAAGGGATAAGGTCCAAATTCTTAGTAAACTGAAGCTGAGGTGCTTATTTGCCTTTTCCCTCCCCAACTTCCAGGCTTGCGAGGATCTCTGGAACGCCTCCAGCTGGGATACGTGGACATTGTCTTTGCCAATCGCTCAGACCCCAACAGTCCTATGGAAGGTAAAAGCAGCTCCCCCAAGCCTGACAGTCTTTCAACACTAAGCACTCCCTCTAACCCTCAGCAAGAAGCCAGCCCTTGCTCAGAAGACCTGCCAGGCTTCACAGTGGAGGCTCAGATCTCATGACTTAGACAGGGAGGGAGGCAAAGAACAGAGATATAAACCTCTCTGACTCACAGAGATGCCTGGGGTGTTGGTGGGGCAAGCAGAGGTCTGCAGATCTGGAGCCCTAGATTCCAGGGGTCTGACAGTGAGGCTCTCTCTCTCCTGTGTGCCTAGAGATTGTACGAGCCATGACATATGTCATCAACCAGGGCCTGGCCCTATACTGGGGGACATCCCGATGGGGGGCCGCAGAAATCATGGTAAGTGTGTGATTCCACTTCCCCCTGTCCCACAACTGGTTCCCACTTTTCAAATGACTACTCTAAATCCCACTGGACTGGGGGGAGGAATGCTCTGACCCCCATTTCTTCCTCACCCCAACCCAGGAGGCCTACTCCATGGCCAGACAGTTCAATCTGATTCCTCCCGTGTGTGAACAAGCTGAGCACCACCTGTTTCAGAGGGAGAAGGTGGAGATGCAGCTGCCAGAGCTCTACCACAAGATTGGTTTGCAGACCCTCATCCCTAACTTTCCCTCAGCCTCATCTGTGGCCTAGGTCCCTTTGCCAACACCCAGTCTTCTTCCTCTTAGGTGTTGGCTCAGTCACCTGGTGCCCTCTGGCCTGTGGGCTCATTACTAGCAAGTATGATGGGCAAGTCCCAGATACCTGCAGGGCCACCATTAAGGTGAGATCTGGGAACTCAGGATGGCAGGACTGGGCTATCTGGGCTGCTCTGTGTGTGTGGGGTGGAGTGGGGGGTGGGGGTCTATTGCTAATTCTTCTTGGTCTCCAGGGCTACCAGTGGCTCAAGGACAAAGTAAAGAATGAGGATGGCAAGAAGCAACAAGCCAAAGTCATGGACCTTCTGCCCATTGCTCACCAGCTGGGCTGCACTGTGGCTCAGCTTGCTATTGGTGAGACCCTGCCAGCCCTGGGCCCTGCAGGGCCCCTGTCTCTTCCTGAGATGCTCCCAAACCAGTCTACAGACTGACTTGTCCCTAGGGATGACCCTCTTCTTCAGAGACATCTCTGAAGTCTATGTGCTCACTGTTCTCCATCAGTTATCTTCTTTTGTTCCTCTGGCTTCAGCGTGGTGTCTCCGCAGTGAGGGTGTTAGCTCGGTCTTGCTGGGGGTGTCCAGTTCAGAGCAGCTGATTGAACACCTGGGTGCTCTACAGGTGAGCCAGAGCCTCAGAGGCTTAGCCTATCTCTGTCCCCTTCCTCAGGGGTCAAAGGCATACTGTCCAACCCAAAATGGCCCTAGGAGGTCACCCACTACAAAGTCCTCACTTTGCAGGTGAGAGCTCCCAGGGCCACAAAACGAGGCAAGGGCACAGATGCGACTCTCCTTGCCACTGGCCCCACCGTGATTTTCCCCTGGGTCCTTGAACCTCATGCCCTTCCTCAGTGACCCAGAATGTACTGCCCTCTCCATCACCCCACTATCCTCCAGGTGCTGAGCCAGCTGACCCCGCAGACGGTGATGGAGATAGACGGGCTCCTGGGTAACAAGCCGCATTCCAAGAAATAGTCCGTCGGGGGCGCAGGGACCCAATCCAGAGCCGCTGAAGCTACCCTAGAACCACGTTCTCGCAGCTGCCTCTTTCCCTCTCTGGATCCCTCCCCGCAGCGGCCAGAGCCAGGGTAGCCCCGCCCACTAACGAGTCCCAGCTTCGTGTAGCGATACGCATGAACAAAGCCATATCCTTCCGCAGTGGAGCTGCAGAGAGAAAGTAGTCCGCCCGCCACCTGCTGCGTCCTCCTGGCCTTGCAAATCCTGGGCATGAGCTACTCGCCATCCGCTCTCTGCCACTTGGTCTCGCTCCCTTCTCTCTTCCTCCTATTGTCGAAGCCCAGGGAAAAACCGCCTGATACAGGAAACATGCGGAGTACCTCAAAAAGGGGCCCTCGAAATGTTATCAAGGGGTAATAATTTAGTGAGTTGTGATGTCCTCTGGGACATAGGAAATGGCGTTCTTATGTTATTCGGTACAAAGGAAGCCAGGCTGGTCCTGGCAGGAAGTAAATGATAACCTTTGGGAAAGCAGGACTCTGCCTGCCAGTCCAGAGATGGAAGGCTTACAACTAGAACTAGTGTAATACTTTGTTCTTGGGAGAGGGTGGTAAGGGTGGGGACTACGGTAACACAGCACTGACAAAGGTAGAGGGAAGTTTGACAGCAGGTGTACAGTGTGGCCTGGCAAAAGTGGCCAAGGTGGCCCCTGGAAAATAGTTGGGCTGTATTTTGCAGGAATTAGTAACAGCCTTTGGGTCATGGGCAGAGACATAGGACTGATATAAAAAGGTCTAGGGATAGATTTTGAGCCTTGAGCGGGACTGCCTACCTGGCAATGGAGGATTGGGTCTACCTCCCAGCAATAACCCTAAAGCAATAATGATGGCCTCTCTTCTGTAATACTTCCCAGGGAACTGTAAATAAAATCTCAGTTGATCCTCACAGTGTCTGAAATTGCAGAGGGTTGGGAGGTTAGGGACAGTCTCGGATGTCTGGCCTCTTTGCCCCCTGTCATTAAAAAAGCTCACAACACTAGCTTTCTCTCCATTGCTCATTCGCCTTGGTGACCCAGGCACTCGGTTCCTACTCACTGCTTTCAGTAAGGACTCAGGCACCAGGTACCCCAGGCCCCAGATTTCTTCCTTCTTTCAGTTGCCACATTCCTTAGAACCCAGAGATCTGGCTTCATTGTTTTGTTCCTCCTCTTTCTACAAAGGACTCAGCTGCCTGCCACACTTGCCCTTGTTTTTTTGGTTTTTTTTCAAGTTACATTAGCCATACTTCTTGTCTCATTCTTCTCGTTTACCTCTTGCCAGATACCCACACATATGCCAAGGAACTATCTGATTGGTTTTCCTGTGGTTGAGTGGGAGAGGCTGCTCCCAAGCTGAGGCTTTGCCATTTGGTGGGGAGTAAAGTGAAGACCAGTCTATGGTTGAGGAGATACAGAGAGAAGGAAAGGAGATATAAATTTAAAAGAAAAAAAGTAAAATATCAGGTGTGAGTATAGCAGAAAAGCAGAATCAAATGAAGCTATGTGAGATATTATACCTATTTTTCCCCAAACAACTCTGATTTTCCTGGGACAGAAAGTGAGTTAAAAGTTACAGCCTTAATGATAACAAGGCAGAGTAGGATGAGCTCTGCCTTCCTTAAATACAACCTCGCCATCTCCATCCTACCCTGATCCTGAAGCTGGGAAAGCAGAGTAAAACCAATTTCCAAAAGACAAAAGTCAGCAGCATACACTTCCTGAATTAGCAACCAACTGGATCAACTAATGAATACTTACATCCACCCCTATCATCTCCCACTTATTTTGGAAGACAAAAAAATAAAATGTATGACTAAACTATGATTAGTTATTCTGTAACAAACACTGAAGAATTTATCAACTCAAAATAGTATTCTCGGCAGGGCGCAGTGGCTCATGCCTGTAATCCCAGCACTCTGGGAGGCTGAGGCGGGCAGATTGCTCGAGGTCAGGAGTTCAAAACCAGCCTGAGCAAGAGCGAGACCTCGTCTCTACTATAAATAGAAAGAAATTAATTGGCCAACTAATATATATAGAAAAAAATTAGCCGGGCATGGTGGCACATGCCTATAGTCCCAGCTACTCGGGAGGCTGAGGCAGGAGGATCACCTGAGCCCAGGAGTTTGAGGTTGCTGTAAGCTAGGCTGACGCCACGGCACTCTAGCCCGGGCAAGAGTGAGACTCTGTCTCAAAAAAAAAAAAAAACCAAAAACATAGTATTCTCCTTAAATAATTATCTTGGAGGGTTATGCACTTATTTTAATGATGCCTCCCCCATTGCTTAAAACGTTTTATAACAAAAGTTCTTCTTAAAATTAATCTTCAGAGACAGTTTAGAAAGCCCTTGTGAAAAACCTTCATTGCCATACCTCCTTTGTATATAAACATTTGCCATATTTGTCACCTTCCTCATTATTTATTTATTGAGGCTACTAAGGAATGGTATGGAATATAGTGGTGAACTAAACCAGACTCAGAACAATCTACATGCAGCTTGCTGATGGGAGAGACAATCACATAACTACCAAATACAAACTTCAGCTGTCCAAAGTCCAAAGGAAAGCACATGGGTTACCAGAGTCTACAATGGGTCTTTGACACGATGAAGCTGCACTGAGAGCTGGGATAAGTAGGTGTTAATAAGGTGAAAGCAAGAGGGTTAGGAGAAGAGCATATGTAAAGGCCCTGTGGCAGAAAGGAACATGCAAGCCAAAGGTCCCCAAAGCCAGGTTGTCTAAAGAGAAATGGAAGCAGAATATGGGCATGGAAGAGTTCAGAATACACAGGACCTTACAAGGCACCTTAGAATATTATCTTTATCCTAAGGATAGTAGGAAACCCTCTATATCAGTTATCTATTGATATATAACAAATCACCCTCAAACTTAGTTGTTTGAAACAACTTTTAAAAACTTTATTATTATTTTTTTCATGATTCTGTGGGTTGGCTGGGAATTCCTCTGCTGTTTTCACCTGGGCTCACTCATTCGACAGCACTTGGCTGAGCAGGAAAATCCAAGATGGCCTCACCAACATGTTTGGTAGTTAGAGCTGGCTATTGGCTAGGGCTCTTCTCTTCTCTATGTGGTCTCATCGTCTGGTGGTCTTAAGAGGCAAAATGCACTAGGTTTAGTGATAAGCTGGTAAAGGAAAGTGAGGGCAAGGAAAGGGTCAAGGATAATACCTAAGTCTCTAGAGTTTAGCAACCCCGAGGGTTCCAAAGGAACAAAGGCAGAAGGTGCAAGCCCTCTGAAGGACGAGGCTCTGAATTCACAACTCTTCCCATCTACTGTCAAAGTTAGTTATGAGGCCAGCCTGGATTCAAGGGATAGGGAAAGAGACCATAATTCTTGATGGGAGAAGCAGCAAAGTTATGTTGCAAAGGAATTTAGGGCCATCAAACTACCACACTGTTAAAAGGTTTTATTTTTTTTTAAAATTTTTTTTTTTCAGAAACAAGTTGTCAGCTTACATTAAAAGGTTTTAAACATGAGTGAAAGGAGTGTGTGATAGGACAGGATTTGGTTTGAGATTTGGAAAGAACACTGTAAACGATATGGAAGGAAACCAGAGTACCTGTGGAGACTGGTTAGGTCTGAGGCTCCTGCTGGGGTCTAAGCAAGAAATAGCAGCAGCTTGGACTAGGGTGGTATGCTGGCGATGGAGAGAAGTAAGTGCATTAGAGAGATATTTAAGAGGCAAAATAAACTAGGCTTAGTGATGGGCCGGTAAAGGAAAGTGAGGGCAAGGAAAAGGTCGAAGATAATACCTAAATCTCTTGGCATTGAGCAAAGGAAGGGGTAGGATATGGGAAGAAATGCTGGTATGGACAGGGAGATCATTAGTTTCGGTTCTTGAAAATAAATAAGAGCTGTAGAGCAGGCAACTGATATACAGATCTGGAGCTTAGGGGGGCCTTGGCTGTCAAACACTTTGGGAACATTTATATAATCAAATCTACCTTAAAAGATTAAGATTTACCACCAATTGAAGATATCAAAAGGTCTGAGGAACACCATTCCAAAGAGAAGTTCCAAAGAAGCTGTGAATTATGACAGCATTACTAGAATAAGTAAACAGCTTCCCTCAAGTGATAATGAAGACAATACAACTCAGAAGTTCTGAAATGTTTGTGTACAAATAACATTATACCTCCTTACAAAGATTACCCCCTAGGTCTTAATAATTTAGTTAAAAAACAAAACTAGCTCTACACTGCCTGTTATAGCCAGTTAATGCCATGGGTGTACAGAAGCCCATCTTGTACGTATTGATCAAGAGAGATGGGTGTTGAAAATGTTGAGTACAGAGAAGTTAAAGTGAACACAATATAGGCTGGGGACACGGGATAATAACAATAGCTAATACAGTATTTACCTGGTGTTTGCTCTCTACTAGGCATCATTTTAAGCACCTTAAACATATAACCTCATTCAATCCTTACTATTATTATCCACATTTTATGAGGAAACCAAGGCCCAAAGAAATTAAGTAACTTGCTCAAAGTGTCACAACTAGTAAGTGGCAGAGGCTAGGATTTGAACTCAAGCCAGCTGGCTCTAGACTGTGTTGTTATCCTCCACAACAGAACCTGAGCTGCAGGTCCAGGAGAGGAGGCTGAGGAGGCAGCTTGGTGTTGGTGTGGCACCACGAGGGAATGTGGGCTGTTGAGTAGCATGTCCTGTTTACCTGTAGAAGTCAGACTCCTGAGTCAGAACTCATGCTGGACTGCTTTGCTGAAGCCATCATGATGTGTGGGTGTCCAGGCCTGGATACTCCAGAAGGAAAGGATTCTCGGCATTCCTAAGACAGTGGTCCTGGAATCTAGGTTCCTGGTTAGGCCGAGCTGTCAGCTGGTAGTTAAGCAGTTGGTGGAGAATGAAATTTGGGAAGCTAGCCTTACAAGAACACACAGAAGTCGTAGGATAAGGAAAATTGTGGGCAGAATGAGTTACTGCCAAGGCAGCATCGACTCAAAAGGCCCAGGAGACCACTAATGGTTGGGAAGAATGGGCGGCGTACCTGGCTCAGGACGTCTGTTTGGGGCGGGGGGCGGCTGTGAAAGAGTACAAGCAACTAACAAACAGACCAAGGAGCTTTAGAGACCTGTTGTGCTAGTGGCTGCAGGCTGATGTGCAAGAAGGAACCTGGGGGTTCGCACATGGTAGAATTAAGGAGCGCTGGGCACTGTGCTGGGGGGTGAAGGAAGGCGTGACCAGCAGAGCTCCAGTCCTAGCATCACGGGGCCGCCTCCCCCGCGCCGCCATAGCTGTCATTCCCGGCCTCGCACCTCCACCGCCCCCACGCGTGCCACGGCAGGGAGCGGCCCGACCACAGCGTGACGCCACGAAGGGCGGCACCTCACTATTAAAAGAGGCAAGAGGCCGCGGCGCCCGCCCCAGGACCAGACGCGGGCCACAGAAGGGTCCGCTCGTTCTACCACGAAGCCGGCCGCATTAGCGACGCCCTCGAGCCCGCGGCGGGCGCGATGCAGTTCCTGGTGAGGGTGCCCTCTCTTCCGGAGCGGGGCGAGCTGGACTGCAACATCTGCTACCAACCCTTCAACCTCGGGGCCCGAGCGCCCCGCCGCCTGCCCGGGACGGCGCGTGCCCGCTGCGGCCACACGCTCTGCACCGCCTGCCTGCGCGAGCTGGCGACGCGCGGCGACGGCGGCGGGGCGGCCGCGCGCGTGGTGCGCCTGCGCCGCGTCGTCACGTGCCCCTTCTGCCGCGCGCCCTCCCCACTCCCGCGCGGTGGCGTCACCGAGATCGCTGTGGACCCGGACTTGTGGTCGCAATTGGAGGAAAAAGAGCGGGCCGAGTGCGAACGAGATGAGGCGGGGAGCCCGGCCAAGGAAAGTGGCGACGCTGTCGGAGAGAAGGAGGATGGGGCGAGCAAGGGGGCAGGGCCTAGGAGCGCGGGGTGGCGCGCGCTTCGGCGGCTCTGGTACAGGGTCCTGATGCCCGCGCGCAGCTGGCGGCGTCCTCTGCCTTGCAACGGTGAGAGGCTGCCGGAGGAGGATGCGGGGGAGAGTGCGCTGAGGCTCTCCGGGGTTCGGTTGCATGCTCCTGACTTTGCTGCCACTAACCTTTCTTCTCTCCCCCAGTGCTCTACTGTCCCGAGATCAAGGACATTGCTCATATGACCCGGTGCACGCTGTAATGGGGAACCCGGAAGCGAAGGCCAAAGGAAGGTGGGAGCTGCAGCTTCGGGGCATGCTTTAGTACTGGGGTCTGATGTCAAGAATACCGCCTCTGAGATCCTGGGATTGTCGCTTGATCGTGAGAGATGAGCTGAGGGCTGGAGGGAACATCCTGGGAGGTGTTGATGCTGAGCTGGGGAGGATCCTAGACGAACTCGCCCCCATCTGCTAACTGTGCCAGCCTTACATTTTCAGGATAGAGTGGCCAAGGGATGATGTAAACAAAGCCCACGTTACCGTGGGAAGCAGACAGACTGTTTTCTTAGCTGACTTTGGCTTTTGTCCAGGGTGGTTCTGGTGTGTGGGAGCAACAGGTCCCATTTTAGCAATTCTTTGCCAGTGGTTTGAAATTTTTTTAAAAAGATGGAACAGGAGGGAAGAGGCTAATTTTCGTGTCATGTTCATTTAACTTCTCTGGCACGAAAGGGTGCCTGCTGTCTCCCCACTCCCAGTTTTGTGTTCCAAAAACTGAGATGCCTCTGTGCCTATGTGATTAGGGGCCTTGCTTCATTTCAGAATCTCCCTTCAACTGCTAATAGGGCAGGTATCAGAAATTCCAAAAGGCATTTATGTGAGGCACCTAATTAGAGCCTAGGTAGGAAGGGAGAGCCATTTGATAAAGGCATCAGATTTTAAACTTTTGCTATTATCTGTGTTATCTTTACAGTCACAGAGAAGCACTGGCACTACTGAAAAAAGACAGTCATATAATTTTAAACTTGTGTCCCATAATGGGACATCACCTATTTGCCATGTATTCTATTTTAAAATCTTGTAAATATCTAATGATAGTAGAGTCATAGTCAAGGACCAGCAGTGTCAGTGTCACTGGGAGCTTGCTAGAAGTGCAGAATTTCAGGATCCCACTCCAGACTTCCTGAATCAGACTCTGCATTTTCATAATCCCAGGTGATCTGTGTGGATGTAGAAATTTAAGTAGAATTGGTCTAGGTTCTAGACTTTAGTATATCACCATCTGTAGGTGGAATATTTAAAGCACAATTGGTATAACTGATACACTATTTTACTGAAAGTTTTAAAGTAACATTTTATTGCTGAAGAAATCTTGTGTTACATTTTTCTTGGTTAAAAATGTGAACTTATTAACCTCAATTTTCTTAGCGATCTCCAGGCTTTTTAAGTTAATATTATTTTTGATCGATAAATCATAATTATATATATTTATGAGGTATAAACCTCAATTTTTATAACCATTTTCCTGTCCTTAAGTCTCAGCTTAAATGTCCTCTTTGGGGAGGCTTTTCATCATTCAGCCTAGCAGAACCCCCCTTCCCCCATCCTTTGCTAATGTAACACTTTGTTTTATTTTTACTTTTTTTATTTTCTGATATTTGATGTTCTATGGGTATCCCTCACTGGAGTGTAAGCTTCATGGGAGCAATGACTGACTTGTGACTGTTTTACCTCTATGGCCAACAGCAGTATTAATGTATAGTATGTACTCAATAAATATTTGTTGGATTTATATATATTTTTTAAAAATATAGTGGCTTCTTTCAGCCTCTGAGAGAGCTCTGTTAATGAACAATAAATGTCAAGGATGTGTCTAGCAGTTTAAATCTTTTGGCAAGTTACACAGGTTTGGCCCTCAATTCCTTAAAAAGTGTGCCTCTGCTTCCTATTGGAACTGAACCTGTGGAGCTGTAGTGACCTCTGCTGACTCTGAGGGGAACTAAGCAATTTGAAGGAGAAAAGGATGATAAAAAGGGTGGCTGAAAGGCAGTTTTGAATCTTGCCCAGGCACTCCTCCCACCACACTCTGCCCAGTAAGTTCTGTTCTCTCTGTGCTCAACCAGAGGCCACATAGATATCGCATCACGTGAATGGGGTTGGAAAAAAAGCCTCAGTTTTAGTGAATTATCTAAGAGATAAAAATGAGGAAAAGGACAAAGTCACAAGATTTTAAAAAAAGAAAAAGATGGATAATATGAAATGGTAGAAAGCAACAATGCTTCTTATCCCTCCCACCAACAAGAACTCCCCCCAGTCAAAAATAACAGAGCACACAGAAAGGAAAGTATAATTTATATGTACAACCAATAAACCTGATACAGAAGAGGGGATCAGGACAGACCAGGAGTGGGTGTGAAGAGAGACTGGGAAAGGGGCAGCAAGAAAGTGAAGGGGCAGCGAAGAGGAAGTGGGGGGTTCGCCATGCAAACTGCCACTCTCCTCGGCCCCTCCTGGGAAGGGGGATGTGCCCACCTCTCCCTAGCCTGCCCTCCACCATTTTGCTCTGGTCCCAAAGGCAAGGTAAGGTCCCAAGACCCTGACTAGGCCCCCTGCCTGACCTACTCAAATTTAGTCTATATCCAGGCCACGAAGAGGGAGGGTAGAAGTCCTCCAGGGACTGAGCCCCAGAGCTGGGGGCTTCCTCTACGTCTGGCCCACTGTATTCTCTCCCACCCTTCTAGGTTACCTGGGTTCCTAGAACAGGTTGGGGAGCTCCTCTTTGGCTTGAGGGAGTATCGCCCAACCATTACTCTTTTTGTAGGGGTGGTCCTTGGTCCCTAGGGAGTGGGGAAAAGAGTCCCAACACAAGATGCTGGTACACAGGAGGTAACTGAGCCAGTGAATGGCGCCTTTATTCTGAGGCTGAACAGCAATTGACTCCTTTCCTTGGTAACTGCTCCACCCTCCATACAGGGAGAGGTAGGGGAAGGTAACATGCAGCCACCCCTTCTCTTCCCTTCTTCCCTCCCAGGGCTCAATTTCATCCCTCTCTAAAAGTCCGCCTCCTCTCTTCAAAGCTCTTTTTCCCATAAAAGTTCCTAAAGGCTAGGCAAGGCTAATCCCCCATTTCTGTAGGAGATGGAGCTGATATTGCAGGAAAAAAGACTGGGAAGGCTCCACCTCTTTCCTCCCACAACCATTTATTGGGAAGCTGTGTATATTTGGTGGGGGACAGTGGGTAAAGGGACTTAGAAGACCCTGCTAACCATCTCCCACCCAGACCTCTTCTCACCAGCACAGTCTTCAAAGCTTGGTGGGAAAGGTGCATGGGAATGGAGAAAGACAAAGGGCCCTTCTTGAAGAGAGGAGCTGTAGAGAGGGGCAAAGGGGCTCTTAGCCCAGCGGTGACCCAAGGGGTGGGGAAGGCGGAGGGTTGGCAGCAGGCCCCAGAGCCTGAGCTGGGGGTCGGCCTCGGGGACGGGGCCTGGGTGAAGGGCAGGCCTGGGATCCAGTCAGTCGTCTATACAGATCACCTCCCCGGCTCGGGGCTCCTTCCGATCCAGCCCGTCTGACACCAATGCCCCCACCATTTCCTTCTCCTTCTTCACCAGCACTGGAGGGCCGTTGGTGGCGGCTGTTTGGGAAGGGGGTAAGGAAAGGTCAATCCTCACATCACTCCCAAACATCACTTTCTGGCAATACTATATTCTCACTTATAGGTCACCTCTTGCCACTTCATTTTGTCCCAGGTAATTTTGGGTGGGAAGACCAGGATGAACCCCTCTCCCTGAGATTCCACTTTGAACATGTTCTAACTCTCACCATACCCTTCTGAGTTCATACTCTTCTTTGAAGTAACCCAGATGGAGGTGGCTTGGGCAGAAGATACCAAACCACAGAACTACTAAAACCCTAGAGGAGGTTTTGACAATGGGGACAGTAGAGGGCTTAAGAAAGGGATGGGAAGAATAAAGCCCAGAACAACTCTACTCCGTAACATGCTGGATATGGCCAAGGACATGAGATGGACTGGAGCAGTGAAAGGGCAGCTGAGCAGGGAGGAAGCTTGGCAAAGGAAGAGAGGGAGAAGCAGGGAGTAGGAAACCACCAGCTGACCTGTGATGAAGGACCCTGCAGGCATCTGGCTGTAATTGGCGCCTGCGGCGGCCAGGGCCCCTACGGGTGCGGTGCTGAACGCCACCCCGTAGCCCGGAGGTGTAGCGTATGGACCCGGGGGGAAGGCCTAGAATAGAAAGCAGGCTGAATTTAGTGTTAGTCCACAGTCTGAGAGGAAGCTGTAGGGGAGACATTACGAGCCACACTCTAGAACTACTGAGGGTGTAACATACAGGCAGGAAGACTCACTCAAGGGTGCAGACTGTGTTCTATCAAGTTGTTTTTCCACATTGTATAGGATTCTGATGGAAGTGTTTATATGTGTGCAGGAGGAACACCAACAGGGAAAACGAGTTAGGGGGAAAGAGGGTTACCGGTGTGGGGTGAGGCTCCGTGCCCTTGCTGGCCAGCCGGCTGAGGATGCTGCGCTCGGACATCTGAAGGCGGGCTGCGATGGGGGGTATTCGGGACAGCGTGGCTGGCAGGCGGGTCACGTCCGCCTTCATGTCGCTCAGCAACTCCTCCAGCTGGTTCAGAACTGGGGCCCGGGCCACGGAGAAAGAAGGGCAAGAGAAAGACAGGGAAAGAGAGAGATGGAGCCAGGAAAAGAGAGGAGTCAGATG